TGGGCCAAAGTCAGGCAGATTGGAGTGATTTAGTTTAGGAACAGGGTTACTAAGTCTGTTTGAACCAAAGAGTCTGTTTCCATGCTGTATGACTCAATGACTCTATGAAATGAACACGATGAAATAAAGAGACAACAAGGTGCAGGGCTTGCAGCATCATAGGCGCAGCATCATAGGCGCAGAAAGGCTGACGTTTCGGGCCTATCCAGCCCTGCACCTTGTTGTCTCGGATTCTCCAGCATCTGCAGTTCCTACTATCCATGATGAAATAAAGCTTGTCAGAGGGAGAGAGGGAGATGGAAGGGAATACAGAGTGAGCAATAGAACAAATTAACGAAACACGTAGAGAAACAGTCACAGAAAGAGAGACTTTATTTCTGGCTAATGTGGTGAGTAATGCCTTAAGACATCTGTTAATATTAAAAAATTACTTTACAGCAACAAAAGATTTTCTTCATTTGGATATTATTTTTTCCAGGATGTTCATATTTTTATTTTTACCTTTATCTTTGTGTCTGTTTCCCCATTATTATTTCCTTTGTTCTTTTGATTTATATTTCAGCTGGGAGAAGCAGAGCAACTCAACAGGAAGTCAATTGTGTCTTCTCTGTGATGTCTGAAAGTTACTCTGAAGTGCAGTATGTTAGAAACTGTCAACCAAACTCCCAGAAGATGTGGGCTAACAGCATAAAATTTCTCCTCAATTCAGCATGATTGACATTAATACAGAACAGCCACAGGGGCTGTAAAAGAGTAGAAATTCCAAGACGTATAAGTGCACTGGGAGAGATGAGGAATAATTAATGGAATTAGACTGTTGCAGCTCTGCTATTGGCTGGGCATGCTATCATAAGAAATGTTGGCAATTATCTTTATGTTGTATCAGTGCCATTGGGAAGCATCTGATGTCATGGACTGTAAAGTTTAATAAAAAATCTTTTATCTGACCTCGCTACTCTAAATTGAAACAAAATTCCAAAACATAGTAATGATAACTGAGCACTGTGTTTGAGCCACCAATTCCAATAACAGTGAGATCCCATCCTGCCAGTGACACAAAGGATATACAAAATGCAACCGAGTGCGAAACCAGCCCTACTCAGGTTCTAACCATTTATGATGCTAACATGTGGGGAGAAAGTTAGCTGTCCATCTGTAAGGAGACTTAAAAATTGAAAAGAATTACTGTAAAATTAGGCCCACAATACCATGAAAACAGAAAGAATCAACACAATGTTTGACATCAGTTGTTCCTAGGATTTCAACCGATGTATAACGGTGGATATTGTTGCCCAGTAACTGAAGTACTTGCTTTCTCACTTAGATCTGTCCCTCAATTAGTTTTCCTTTCACTTTTTTTTATCTGTTTTGGATTAACTGCCTCACCTCTTTTTCCAATAACCTCTCCAACTTGAGAGGATGGTTTGCTTGTAACAGGAATGGCATTTACTATTCTCCTTCGCAGAAGTAAAATAATTTTGTAAACATCAGATTATATATTGTTTTCATTCTCACTGAAAAAAATGGAAAATTCAACTCTCTTGGTCTGTAGCAGTAGGAAGAAATTCATAAATAATAGAATGATATATTAGCAATGTCAACCAATTAATCCTTAAATTTTGTTGTAAGGTGCAAGTTAATTAATGTTTGGCTGCAAGTTTTCCATATTTTAGTAGGGACTGTTCAGGACTATACCAGGTTAGATTATGAGTGAATCATACACAAAATGTGATAACACATGGGGCAGATTTTCATCAACCCAACTGGGATAGAACCTGGAGACCTGCACAAACTGGATCTGGAAATCTCACATCCATTCCTGGCACCAATGATTCTCATCGGTGTGGATAAGAAGATGGGCAGTCACACCCAGCCGCCCTGCTTTTCAAAGTTGCCAGCATCAATTTTAGATAGCCATTTTGGATCCCCATGATTTTCATGAACACCCCCGCAATCAGAAAGGCCTCCTGATATACAACTGACCATTGATTTTCAACAGAGATTAAAAGAGTGTTCATGCATTTTAGATCATAAGAAATTCTGCAATCTGAAGTATACCTATGTCACCCATAGTCAGAGTTGGCATAGGTTACGATTGTGTCATGTTCTTCCTAATGAATTATTCAGCTTTTATTATTTTTAAACCTCTTGTGGTATTTGAAGGAATGCAGAATGGGCCAAATGTAAACATTTGGCTGTATGCTTGAAGGGTTTGTGGTGAAGGGATATGAGTGTGTGTCGGCATAAAACTGATCTCCTTTACTTTGCTTGATCTATTCTTTCAAACCCCATGTTCTTAACTAAGGAGAGAGGCCTCAAAACCATCCTCATCAGCATTGTCCTGCCTCAATCTTGGGGAACGTTGCCATCTCCATAGGGCAGAAGGCCCATCTCCAGTCGAAGCTCACCTCACTGCAGAAACTGACTGGTCCACGATAGAGACAAGATCATGGAGTTGGAGGGAATTGCAACTCCTGACACCTGTTTCAGCCATGAAAATCCATGCCTTAGTATCATTTTGAAATAATAATGTCAATTTAAAAGGGGACTGGCTGTTGCATTGAACTGTTTTTAATGCATTGCACAGCCAAAAAATTACTGATTTATTTGATTTATTATTGTCACACGTACTGAGATACAGTGAAAAGTATTGTTAAGTGTGCTAACCAGGTATATCATACATTACATAAGTATATCAGGGTAATAGAACAGAATGCAGAATATAGTATAGCTATAGAGAAGGTGCAGAGGAAGATCAACTCTAACATGTTTAAAGTGTGTTAAAATAAATGTGAACTTATTGGTACCTTCTATCTTTTAAGCATAAATGGCGCAACATTTCAGATGAGGAGCAAATGACTGTTAAACTCAAAATGAAAAAGTTACACTCAGTCTTGCTTCACTTCATCATTAGGTTCATAGAAATGGCATCTCACTGTCTGGCTCAGTACTAAAATGTAGAGAATGTCATGATGTTGCTATGATAATAGTTAATTAATGTCGATCAACCTCTGGCATCTGAAAATTAACTATTACAAGTCTGGATTTGCATTTCTTCAGCTTTAATTACTAAGTATTTTTAAAATGTCAAATTTTATTTTTTTTTAAACTTTACTGTCTGTCTCTTTCTTTGTTTCCCTCTTTCACAGTAATGTAATCTTTCTTTCCCTTTTACTTTTCTGATAGTTAATTTGACATTCAATTCACCCACTTGAATTTATACTTCCTCACGGTCCTTTCACTGTCCATTACATTATTTCTTGATTTGATTGAATCAGGAGATATATATAGTTGCTTGCCTTGATCACTCAGGTCTGACATGCCATTTCTTTCATTGCAAATTTATGAGCTTGGATGTTTTAGCAACGTAACTTGTGTATCACTCTACACATGTTGTCTTCTATATTAATGAAAATATGTTTACACAAATTATGTGGCTAAGCTGTTACAAAATTAATGCAGTCAGACTTCCAGTCATACAAACGCTTAAATGTGTAAAGGGACACCTAGTAGTAGATACCACGGGCTGAATTATACTAGAAAACTGTCATTTTTGTTATGTGGTACAGAGGTTTTCTCTCTGACAGGCTCAGAGAGTTTTCTCACACTATCATCACAAACTCACCTCATTAACTATGGCATCACACTCGTCTTTGTCTTCTTCTTCCACTCATTGTGGGCAATTGTTCTTCCCCATTACTGAGATAGAACATGGAACACAGAACAGTACAGGCCCTTCAGCCCACAATGTTGTGCTGAAATTTTACCCTAATCCTAAGGTCTATCTAACCTCCACCCCTACCTTATACTATCATCCATATGCCTATTTAATAGCCACTTAAATGCTCCTAATAACGCCAACTCCACTACCCCCTCCGGCAATGCATTCCACGCCCCGATCACTTGAGACAGCGCCGATACAGTCACTGATATAACGGAGAAAGAGGTGGGGTTTAGGGCCAGTGTAGCTTCAGAAGAGGGATTGTTCCATGTATCCTACAAAGAGGCAGGCATAGCTTGGGCCCATGCGGGTACCCATGGCCACCCCCTTTGTCTGTAGGAAGTAGGAGGAATTGAAGGACAAGAGTGTTAAGGGTGAGGGCAAGTTCAGCTAAGCGGACAAGGGTGTCAGTGGAGGGGGACTGGCCGGGCCTGCGGGACAGGAAGAAGCGGAGGGCCTTTAGGCCATCTGCATGCGGAATGCAAGTATATAGGGACTGGACGTCCATGGTAAAGATGAGGTGTTGGGGACCAGGGAATCGGAAGTTTTGGAGGAGGTGGAGGGCGTGGGTGGTGTCCCTGCTTTGTGGATAAGCCTTCATGGTGGGCGTGAGGGGGAGTGAAGAAGAGAAGAGGAAAAGTGAGTGTGTGTCTGGCTGTGTCCCACTAATCTAGTCAACCACTTGTGCAGCCAGCTCTGTCACTCATTCACTCATCTGACACTCGCTTACTCACCACCCCTTTCGCTCACTCACGAACCCACTCCCATGACTCACCTACTCACCACCCACCCACCCTCCGTAACTCACTCTTCCCACACACCTATCTCACTCTTAACACACTCTCCACTTCCCCAGTCATTCTCACTGTCTGACACTCATTTCCCCTCCTCATAAAATTCCTACCTCCCTGGAAGCCTTGCAGTCTGTGGCCGTGACTTCACGTCTTGGGCTGAGTGAAAACACTCACATCATGCAGCTTGCTGCTCCTCCAATCGCACATTGTTTCTCTTACTTGTGAGTCTAACAGCAGCAAACGCAAGAGAGGACCAGCATCTGGAAGGGCAGGTCATTTCAAAATGCAGTCATATTTCTCTGTATTCAGAACAGCAGCACTTAGGAACCCCTAATGGAACATGGACCATTTGTTGGAAAAGTCTGCATTTAATAGCATTCATTCCATCTTCCCAGCAATTTTGAAGCATTGCATTGCATAGTCAGAAAATTATCTTTAATCACAAGATTCATTTTCTGTCTTTCTCTATCTTCTGTTTCTCCCAGTGGGAAAAGCTGCAGATTTCAACAAGTGAGAGGAGGAAGATTGTCTGCTCTGTCATCTTCCACATTGTGGCTATCACATGTGTTGCGTGGTCTTTGTATGTCCTGATAGACCGAACAGCAGAGGAGATCAAAAAGGGTAATGACAATGGTAAGAATAAGTTTTTTGGAAATGGAGGGATAGCTGTGCAAATTTGCCATGGTGATGGGGAATCACAGCTGCTAGTCCACATAGCAGGATATCATAACACATTGCCTGAGATGATGATCTCCTAATATGCGAGACTCAACTCAGAAATTATCCATTCAGTTATCATGTTCTGGAAGTGTGTCTGACGTCCTTATATTAATTTTGTGTGATACCAAAATGAATTACTTCCAGGTGTTTATATGCCATTCATATTGCACTTAAAACAAAATTGTTCCAAGTTCATGGATTTGCAATCCAATGGGGCAAAACAACCAAAGAGCTCGAACTAAATACAGAACCCTTTGCAAAGATTGAGGAGCTCGAGTGTTTTAACAGATTGGTGAGAGGGAATGTGCAAAGATGCAGAAAGTTCTGAAATATTCTTGATGCCCAGGATCTGAATTTGTAATCCCAACACTGCATTTCAAGTAATCCTCAGACTGATCTCCCTGGTGACATGCTCCATAACAGTAACTGAAAAGATATCAGATTACTTGTTGGGCAAGCTAATGGAGCTAAGGATTGGTAAGTCTCCTGGCCCTGATGGAATGCATCCCAGGGTACTAAAAGAGATGGCGGGAGAAATAGCAGGTGCACTGGCGGTAATTTTCCAAAATTCGCTGGACTCTGGGGCAGTGCCAGCAGATTGGAAAACAGCAAATGTGATGCCACTGTTTAAAAAGGGAAGTAGACAAAAGATGGGGAATTATAGATTGGTTAGCTTAACCTCTGTTGTGGGAAAGATGCTTGAGTCTATTATCAAGGAAGAAATAGCAAGGCATCTTGTTAGAAATTGTCCCGTTGGGCAGACGCAGCATGGGTTCATGAAAGGCAGGTCATGCTTGACAAATCTTTTGGAATTCTATGAAGACATTACGAGCAAGGTGGACAATGGGGACCCAGTGGATATGGTGTACCTAGATTTCCAAAAGGCCTTCGACAAGGTGCCGCACAAGAGGCTACTGCGTAAGATAAGGATGCATGGCATTAAGGGTAAAGTATTAGCATGGATAGAGGATTGGTTGACTAACAGGAAGCAAAGAGTGGGGATAAATGAGTGCTATTCTAGCTGGCAATCAGTGACTAGTGGTGTGCCTCAGGGATCGATGTTGGGACAGCAATTATTACAATTTATATAGATGATTTGGAGTTGGGGACCACGTGAAGGGTGTCAAAGTTTGCAGATGACACTAAGATGAGTGGCAGAGCAAAGTGTGCAGAGGACTGTGAAACTTTGCAGAGGAACATAGATACATTGAGTGAGTGGGCAAAGGTCTGGCAGATGGAATACAATGTAAATAAATGTGAAGTCATACATTTTGGTAGGAGTAATAGTAAAAAGGATTATTACTTGAATGGTAAAAAGTTGCAGCATGCTGCTATGCAGAGGGACCTGGGTGTCCTTGTGCATGAATCACAGAAGGTAGGTGTGCAGGTACAACAAGTAATTAGGAAGGCAAGTGGAATTCTGTCCTTCATTGCTGAAGGGATCGACATTAAAAGCAGAGGGGTTATGTTGCAGCTGTACAAGGTGCTGGTGAGGCCACACCTGGAGTATTGTGTGCAGTTTTGGTCTCCTTACTTGAGAAAGGATGTATTGGCACTGGAGGGGGTGCAAAGGAGGTTCACTAGGTTGATTCCGGAGTTGAGGGGGTTGGCTTATGAGGAGAGACTGAGTAGATTGGGATTATATTCATTGGAATTCAGAAGATTGAGGGGGGAATCTTATAGAAACATATAAAATTATGAAGGGAATAGATAAGATAGAAGTAGAGCGGATGTTTCCACTGGCAGGTGAAGCTAGGACAAGAGGGCATAGCCTCAAGATTAGAGGGAGCAGATTTAGGACTGAATTGAGAAGGAATTTCTTCACCCAGAGGGTTGTTAATCTATGGAATTCCTTGCCCAGTGAAGTAGTTGACGCTACTTCAGTAAACGTTTTTAAAGAAAAGGTAGATTTTTTTTGAACAATAAAGGAATTAAGGGTTGCGGTGAGAACGTGGGTAAGTGGATCTGAGTCCATGAAAAGATCAGCCATGATCTTATTGAATGGCGGAGCAGGCTCGAAGGGCCAGACGGCCTACTCCTGCTCCTAGTTCATATGTTCTTATGTTCTTATTTTGCTCCCACATTCAGAGCAACCTTCATTTGCAACCATAAATCAGTAAGCTATGCTTTGTATGTTTTGTCTAAAACTAAAATTCTTAGATACAGATGATACTTATTCAAATGATACATAGAAATCTGTTTTGAATGTTTAAATAGACAGGCAGAGAACAGCTATCGATCATTTACTGATGGGAGAGACACTGATTACAATACACATGGAGAAAGATTATAACTAAATGAAATGGACTTGATATTTCAATTATAAACTATTCCTTTCTTATTTTTACTTGTCAGTAAGTATTTTATTAATTGGAGCAGTCTAAATGTGCTGGCTGTAACAGATGTAATGACTGCTCAATACACCAAGGTTAGGGAGTGGTAGCGGCAGGCAGTGGGAGGCATGCTTATTCAAAGACACTGTGCCAAGAACCACTCATCTGCTCTTAGACCCCTCTCTTCTCACTCTCCCATCAACATCTCGTCCATCTTCACTCACCTATGTCATGGGTTGCCTCACTGATTTTGGGCCTTTGGTGGGTACATTGCTCGCAGCTGCAAACTCTAAGCTAATTGTGCTGCCTATAGTGAAGACCCTCCAGTCTCAGACTGGTTGCAGCTTTGCAGGGGATGATATTTCCATCCTCGGAACCCTCTATCTGAAACTTAATTCATTAGGCTTTCCCAAAGGAGATAAAGCAGGACTTTTATTGTTTCTCCCAACAACAAGCTAGACTCCCATTGTCTGGAGTAAATTTCAACAAGTCACTTAGAGGTCACTATGTTTATACATTGCCAGTGACCACAATAGGCCAGATTTTTGTGGAAGCAGGCTGGCTCCAGAGGCGTTTAAAGATGCAGAAAAGGAGAAAGGTTAGCAAAACTGGTTAAGGAGAGTATTGCAGTACCGGAGAAAGTGGATGTCAGAGTATTTAAGGGCAGCTCAAACTAAAAACCAGACCACCAACTAGTGGAAAGGATGTCTAGAAACAAATTTTATATACTAGTTACAATGGGGGACTTTAATTAATCAAACATAGACTAGAATGGTGGTAGTGTAAGGGCAGCAATGTATACATGTTCTTAGATTATATTCAAGAGAATTTTCTACACCAGTATGTGTTCCATCCAATAAAGAAGTCACTACTAGATTTAGTTCTTGGGAACAAGGTGATCCACGTAGACCAAGGGTCAGTAGAGGAAGATTTAGGTGGCAGGTTTTAGGTTGGCAGTAGAAAAGGATAATGAACAATCCAGGGTAAGAATAATTAAGCAGAGGAAAGCTGATTTCAATGGGGTAAGAATGGAGCCTGACCAAATTGACCGGACCCAAATATTGGGAGGGGAAACTGTAGTTGAATAGTAGGCTTCCGTCAAAAAAAGAGATGGTTTGATTCCAATCAGATATATTCACTCAAGAGGGAAAGGTACTGCTAACAAATCTCTTGATAGAAAAGGAGATAGAAATTAAGATAAAGTAATAGCTGTGCTTTTGATGGGTGTCAGGGAGGAAATATAATTGAAAACCAAGCAGGAAACAAAATCTTCAGAAGGGAAGTGAGGAGCAAATAAAAGAAGCTGAGGTATTATGAAAAAGAACTGGCAGCTTTCTTCATAGGAAATTCCAAAATATCTACAGGACCATAAATAATAAAAAGAGGAGCAAGGTCAATAAGGGATCCGAAAGGAGATTTATATATGGAAGCCAAGAGCATAGCTGAGCTATTAAATGAATGTTTTGCATCTGTGTTTTACCAAGGAAAGAGATGTTACCCAGACATAGTGACAAGGAGAAACTAGAAGCATCCAAAACTGATAAGCCAGAGATATTGAATAAGCCGTTGATACTCAAGAGTTGAAAAGGCACCTAAACAAGATGCAATGCAAGAAAAGATATTGAAGGAAACGAAAATCGAAATTGCAGACAAACTGGCCATAATCTTTAAGACTTCCCCGGACATGGTGGGGATGCAGGGGGTGGTGGGATAGACATGTAGAATGGTTTAAGCTGACTGGAGCATTGCAAACATTACGCCCTTGTTCAGTAAAGGTTGTAAGGACAAGCTCAGCAGTTACAAAGCAGTCAATTTAACTTTGTTAATGGGGAAATTTCTAGAAACGGTAATTTGTGATAGAATTACTAGTCACATGGATAAATATCAGTTAGTTTGGAAGGGCCAGCATAGATTTCTTAAGGGAAACTCATATTTAACTAACTTCCAAAAGTCTTTGAAGAGGCGACAGACTGGTTTGACGAGGTTAATGCGGTTGATGTTGTGAGCATGGACTTCCAAAAGACAATCAATACAGTGTGCTTCAACAGTCGTGTGACAAATGTGACAACTCACAGCATAACAGGGATCATGTGGCAACTTTGTTATAAAATTGGCTAAGTGATGGGAAAGAGAGTGTTAATGGGTATTTTTCAGGCTGGAGGAAGATTTATGGTAGCAATTCCCAGGAGTCAGCCCTGGAACCATTTTTATTAATAGTCTACATCTTGCAGTGCAGGAGACAGTTTCAGAGTTTGTAGGTGATACAAATTTTGGAAGCATTGTAAACTGTGAGGAGAACAGTGTAGAATTTCAAAGGGAAATTGACAAGCTGGTAAAGTAGATGGATAGAAGGAAGATGAAGTTCAATATGGAGAAGTGTAAAGTGATATGTTTTGGTAGAAAGAACACGGAGTGACAATACAAAATAACGGGTACTATTCTAAAGGGTGTACATAAGCAGAAAGACCTGGATTTACGTATAAATAAGCAGTTAAATGTGGCGGGACAGGTGGAAATAGCAGTTCACGTAGGATATCGTACGTTCTATTAATAATGACAGTGATTACAAGACTGGGAAGGTTTTGCTGAATCTGTATATAACATTAGTTGGAACTCAACTGGAGTATTGTGTGCAGCCCAAGATACGACAGTTTAGGAAGCATGTGAACATATAGGACAGTATCTCGAAGGGATTCATGAAAATGTTTCCAGGGATGAGAAGCTTCAGCTGTGAGGAAACATTGGAGAAGGTAAGATAATTTTCCTGGGAGAGGAAAAGACTAAGAGGAGATTGGATCAAAGATTTCAAAATTTTGAGCAGTCTGAACAGGATAAAGGGGGAAAAACTTTAGGAACAATTAGGAACAAGAGCGCAGTTTTAAAATGATTTACGAAAGAAGTAAATGTGATGTGAGAGGAAACCTTATCATACAGCGAGGGTTTCTACTCTAGAATCCACTGCCTGTAAGTTGGTTGAGGCAGATTCTATTGAGGCATTCAAAGAGAGCATTTTTTCTATTTAAATAATCATGCCCAATGGCCTTTCCTTGTAGCGCAACAATTCTGTGATTCTGTGGTACTTTTGAGAATTATAAAGGGCTTCTGCATCCACCATGTTCCAGGACCAAATCCAAAGAGGTTTCTTATCTCCAACAGATATCCGAACTACTCCACAAAGTGCAGACTTGCTCTGAATAGGTCTAATCTGCACCCTTTGAGTTTCACTCTATCGGGGTGCCAAAATCAGATTTGAGTGCAAGCAGCTGATTATTTAAAGGGCCAGAGGCCACAAAACCTCATTTGCAAAGCATGGCGCATCACACTCCCACCCCTGATGCAAATGTAGGAGATGCCATGTTCAGGGACAGGACTTGGGGATTTCTGATCACTTCTGCCATTCTCACCAGGTTGCGATCTGGGTCATAGAAGTTGAAAGAAACAGATCAAATAACAAATAATTATGACAACCTCTTAAAATGTCAATCAATCAAAACAAACACAAACCTTACCTGAGTAAAAAAACTCCTGCTGATCTAATTCAATAATAAATCATGGACCTCAGAAACGTATTCATAATAAAACTATCCAGGAACAACTTCAACAGAAAGAGATGGCATAGGAGCGTAGAGATGGCATAGGGTGTGAATGACATGGTGAAGGACTGTGATGGATGAGGGCTCAAGGGCCTGATAACATTTAACACAATTGGGACAGAATCCCAGAGAACCAAAGCAGACCTTCTAAACAACCCACTTCAGTACTTACCCATCACTATGGATGTATTCAGACTGATCCCAGAGTCAGTGAGCTCCTTGTAATATTGTTCTCTCCTACTCAGAGTGAATATAGGTCATGTGGTGGCCAGTTTTACAAGTCAGTGTCTGCCAAGTTAGGAGGTTGCCAACTTAGGTTTCTGACCCTGATGGTGAAGTGTCAGCCCAGTGGTACCATAGGAGCTGGTCTGTAAGCTGACTCATATGTTTCAACAGCATAATGTTCAATTTCTCTTCCAGCCCACCTACCCTAAATTTAGTTTATGCCTCCCGTCATCTCTAAGGGAGATGATAATATCATTAATGCAGAAAAGTGATTGTTAAAAAAACTGCTTGGTTGTATAGAACATAGACATTGCAAAAAGGAAATTAGAAGTTAAAGCTTTTCATCTTGCACTCACCAAAACAAGGGCACAAAAAATAGACTTGAAATAAAGAAATATCACGAACTGTGCTGTGCTTGCAAGCCTCAGAAAAAGTATATCCACCATTGGATGCAATTCAACTATTGAATACTCCTGAGCGGGCTCAGATTTATACCAGGAACTAATTTAAAATGATCAGGCAAGTTTGCAGACTGATGTATTTGTGTGTGCTAGAAGTGACATACTTAAATACTTAGCACCCTGTTTTACATAGGCAAAAGGAATTTGTACATACATTGCAATTTTTTCAGAAAAGGGGGTCATGGAAACAACCAAATCCTGTATCTTCCATGGCAATACTCTGACCAATCAGATTCTACCTGCCTGTTTGAGAATTGAGATTGACAGTTAATTGTTTTTGTGGCAACCCCATGCCAATTATGGTCCAGTCTGCATTCTCTTCAAATTTTGTAGACAATAATGTCTCCTTTTTATAATGTTGTTTCTTCTGTCCTAAGTCTGATCAGTGCAAGACAAAAAGCTTCAGCTTCTAATCTCCTTTTAGCAACGTTCAAGATTTTTAACTTCCTGACTTCTTCCCTGACTGGTCGCTTGTTGCCAAAGGACATAATGACGCTCTTGAGAAAAGCAGTTGCACATCCCATTTGTTATATCAGCATCCTAGCTCAATGCTAGATACTTTTGTGGTTAAAGAAGCAGAATTTGGCAGCATAAAAAGACCCCTGGTCCTATTACTTTGCATCTGTGGCCCTGTTTGAGGAGGACTGAGCCTCTGTCCCAAAAACTAGATCAGCTGGTAACTCTGCCACAAACTTATCATTTCAACATCCCAGCTGAATTGTCAGCCATTCAGTCAGTTTCCTCATGCAATTTCCCACTCAGAGAAGTTACAGATATACAACAAACAGCAAGAACAATGTCCTCCTCAAACAGGGCCACAGATGCAAAGTAATAGGACCAGGAGTCTTTTTATGCTGCCAAATTCTGTTCCTTTAACCACAAAAGTATCTAGCATTGAGCTTGGATACTGATACAAAAAATGGGATGTGCAACTGCTTTTCTCAGGAACGTTATTATGTCCTTTGGCAATATCCTAGCATTTTCTTACTGATACATGAAAAGAAAATTTTGGATTAAATGAAAATAAAGCATGAGGAATAAACATAATTGTGGTGTAAACATGTGTTTTTTTTTAAAATAGGTATTCTGGAATGGCCTTTTTGGACAAAACTGGTTGTGGTTGCCATTGGATTTACAGGAGGCCTCGTCTTCATGTATGTGCAATGTAAAGTCTACTTTCAGTTGTGGAGAAGGCTGAAAGCATATAACAGAGTCATCTTTGTACAGAACTGCCCAGACACTGAAAAAAAAATGGATGACAAGAACACTTCAAATAGTCAAAACTCTGGAAATAGAGAGAGTGTAACTGTGCCAGTGTCACAGACAAAAACAACCTTACAGAGGGCACCAGCGGTGCAGGGTGGCATCCCTGAAGTTGCATCAGTGTGATATGGTCCTGATGTTCATTTGAAGAACTGCACATATTCTTGAAAATCAGTTTCTTTCAGAAATGTACTCCAAACTAACTGGATTACAAATTTTTGTCGTTGTAGGAATTGTAAGAATTAAGGACACAACAGATATGATTGATAGAAATACAACATGTCATTGCGTGGGAATTAACTGTTCAGTATGTGCGACTGTGCTACCAGATATGGCGCAAATGATGCCATCAGCATTATTAAGAATGTGTGCAATGTTATAACTAGGACTTTGTTGAGAAGCACTTTTTAATTTTACAGCCTTTACAATAAAATATTTTGCTATAATTGGGGTCTATTTTGAAATGTTAATCTTGAGAAACCAGTCTTTGAACAGTGGAAAAGTTGTGGTTAAACCCTCTCGGCTTATTACATCTAAGCAGGTAATTCTTTCTAATAAAATGTGTTGCAATGTGTATGTCAGTGAGTTCATGATGAATGCTACGGTTGACATTTCTTGTTGGTTTCTAACTCATCAGGACTCAGCTTGGTTTAAGTTTGCATTGTGCTAAATGGCCAGTGATGTGAGAAACAGCCAGGTTTAAGGTACGATGGCAGTTGGATCACTGTTTTTACATTTAACTGTTCAAACAGTAAGTTCTGGTAATGGTTTAACAATGCTGCTGATGAGGAATCTGGGGTGATATTCAAAACCAATCAAAAAGCTTTTAGGAAATCCTCTTTCAAGTATTTTTAAAAATTCATTCAACATTTATTGCCCAGAGAACAGTTGAGTGTCAGCCACATGGCTGTGGGCCTGGAGTCACGTATAGGCCAGACCAGGTTATGAATGCGGTTTTCTTGCCGAAAGGACATGACTGACGAGATGGGCTTTTCCAACAATCGACAATTTTTTAATTAAAGAGGGCAGCAAAGTGGTGATGCTGATTGGCTGACATGGGGAAGATCTGCATCAGTGCAGTCACTGCTTCCAGAAGGTGGTTTGTGGAGGGGCTGTTGTGAAGTGACAGTTCTCTTCCAAGGATCTCTTCCAGGGCAGGTGGGACCTGTACAAGAAGGACGGGTTGCATCTAAACTAGAGGGGTACAAATATTTGGGCTGGGAAGTTTGCTGGTGTCACTCGGGAGCATTTAAACTAGCTTGGCAGGGGGGTGGGAACCAATGCAAAGATGAATGGACTGAAAGGGAACTAGAGAATAGGGCCAGTGAGACTGAGAGGAAGAGCAGGCAGGGTGTGTTTGCTATTCAAAGTAGATCTGGTGGACTGAAGTGCATCTGTTTCGATGCAAGAAGTGTAACAGGTAAGGCAGATAAACTTAGAGCTTGGATTAGTATGATGTTGTTGCTATTACAGAGACTTGCTTAATGGAAGGACAGGATTGGCAGCTTAACGTTCCAGGATACAGATGTTTCAGGCGGGATAGAGGGGGATATAAAAGGGATGGGGCAGTTGCACTACTTGTTAAGGAGAATATCACAGCTGTACCGCGGAACGACACCTTGGATAGCTCATACAGCGAAGCAATATGGGTAGAGCTCAGGAACAGCAAGGGTGCAATCATAATGTTTGGGGTTTACTGTAGGCCTCCCAACAGCCAGCGGTAGATAGAAGAACAGATATGTAGGCAGATTTTGGCAAGATATAAAAGTAACAGTGTTGTTGTCGTGGGTGATTTTAACTCCCCATATATTGACTGGGACTCAGTGCCCGGGGCTCGGATGGGGAGGAGTTTGTAAGGAGCATCCAGAAGGGCTTCTTGAAACAGTATGTAGATAGTCCAACTAAGAAAGTGGCCATACTGGACCTAGTACTGGGGAATGAGCCTGGCCAGGTGGTCGATATCTCAGTAGGTGAGCAGCTCGGGAACAGTGATCACAATTCAGTAAGCTTTAAGGTACTGATGGATAACGATAGGTGTAGTTGTCAGGTGAAGGTGCTAAATTGGGGCAAGGCTAATTACAACAATATTAGGCAGGAACTGAAGAATGTAGATTGGAAGCAAACGTTTGAGGCCAAATCAACATATGGTATGTGGAAGGCGTTCAAGTGTAACTTACTGGGAACTCAGGATCGGCACATTCCTTTAAGGATGAAGAATAACTATGGCAAGTTTAGGGAACCTTGGATAACAAGAGATATTGTGAGCCTAATCAAAAAGAAAAAGGAAGCATTTATCAAGACTGGGAGGCTGGAAACACATGAAGCAAGGGTGGAATACAGGGAAAGTCAAAAGAAACTTAAACAAGGAGTCAGCAGGGTCAAAAGGTTCACTTACTTATTGAATCCCTGCAGAGTGGAAACAGGCCCTTCGGCCCAACAAGTCCACGCTGACCCTTAGAGCATCCCTCCCAGACCCATCCCCCTATAACTCACCTAGTCTACACATCCCTGAACACTACAGGCAATTTAGCATGGCCAATCCACCTAGCCTGCACATCTTTGGACTGTGGGAGGAAGCCGGATCACCCAGAGGTAACCCATGCAGACACGGAGAGAATGTGCAAACTCCACACAGTCACCCGAGGGTGGAATCGAACCCGGGTCCCTGGCACTGTGAGGTAGTAGTGCTAACCACTGACCACCGTGCCGCTCGTAGGAGTCATGAAAAGTCATTGGCCAACAGGATTAAGGAAAATCCCAAGGCTTTTTATACATATATAAAGAGCAAGAAGGTAGCCAGGCAGAGGGTTGTCCCACTCAAGGACAAGGAAGGGAGCCAGAGGAAATGGGCGAGAGATTAAATGAGTACTTTGTGTCAGTATTCATTATAGAGAAGAACTTGGTGGATGATGAGTCTGGGGAAGGATGTGTAGGTAGTTTGGGTCATGTTGAGATCAAACGGGAGGAGGTATTGGGGGTCTTGAAAAACATTAAGGTAGACAAATCCCCAGGGTCTAATGGGATATACCCCAAAATACTGAGAGAGGCAAAGGGGGAAATTGCTGGGGTCTTGAGGGAAATCTTTGTATCCTCACTGGCTACAGCGGAGGTCCCAGAGGATTGGAGAATAACCAATGTTGTTCCTTTGTTTAAGAAGGGTGGCAAGGATAATCCAACTAATTACAGGCCGGTGAGCCTTACGTCAGTGGTAGGGAAATTATTGGAGAGGATTCTTCGAGGCAGGATTTACTCCCACCTGGCAATCACTGGGTGCATTAGCGAGAGGCGACATGGTTTTCCGAAGGGAAGGTCGTGTCTCACTAACTTGGTTGAGTTTTTTGAGGAAGTGGCAAAGATGATCAATGAGGGTAAAGCAGTAAATGTTGTCTACATGGACTTCAGAAAGACCTTTGACAAGGTCCCTCATGGCAAGCTGATACAGAAGTTGCACTGGATCAGAGGTGAGCTTGCAAGATGGATAAAAAAGATTGGCTCGGTCAGAGATGACAGAGGGGAGCAGTGGAAGGGTGCATTTCTGAATGGAGGGCTGTGACTAGTGGCATTCCTCAGGGATCAGTGTGGGGACCTTTGTAGTTTGTAATATATATATATGATTTGGAGGAAAATGTAACTGGTCTGATTAGTAAGTTTGCCGATGACACAAAGGTTGGTGGAATTGTGAGTAGCGATGAGGACCGTCAAAAGATACAGAAGGATATAGATCTGTTGGTGACTTGGGCAGAGAGATGGCAGATGGAGTTTAATCCGGAAAAATGTGAGGTAATGTATTTTGGAAGGCCGAATCCAGATGGAAAATATACAGTAAATGGCAGAACCTTTAAAAGTACGGATAGGATGAGGGATCTGGGTGTACAGGTACACAGGTCACTGAAAGTGGCAACGCAGTTGGAGAAGGTAGTCAACAAGGCATATGGCATGCTTGCCTTCATCGGCTGGGGCATTGAGTTTAAAAATTCGCAGTTAATGTTGCAGCTTAATAGAACCTCAGTAAGGCCACATTTGGAATATTGTGTTCAATTCTGGTCGCCACACTACCAGAAGGATGTGGTGGCTTTGGAGAGGGTACAGAAAAGATTTACCAGGATGTTGCCTGGTATGGAGGGCATTAGCTATGAGGAGAGATTGGAGAAACTTGGGTTGTTCTCACTGGAACAATGGAGGTTGAGGGGCAACTTGATAGAGGTGTACAAGATTATGACGGGCATGGACAGACTGGACAGTCAGAAGCTTTTTCCCAGGGTGGGTCAGTCAGTTACCAGGGGCCATAGGTTTAAGGTGCGAGGGGCAAGATTTAAAGGTGATATACAAGGCAAGTTTTTTACACAGAGGGTGGCAGGTACCGGAAATTCGCTGCCGGGGGAGATAGTGGAAGCAGATATTATAGTGACCTTTAGAGAGTGTCTTGACAAATATATGAATAGGAGGGATACGGTCCCCGGAAGGAAATTGGAATTAGTTGTGACGGGCAGCATGTCGGTGCAGGCTTAGAGGGACGAAGGGCCTGTTCCTGTTCTTTGTTCTAAATTCAAATTCCACCATCTGCTGTGGCGGGATTTGAACCCAGATCTCCAGAACATTACCTGGGTGTCTAGATTAACAGTCCAGCGATAATACCACTAGACAATTGCCTCCCTGTACACCCAAGTAAATTTTGGTTATCAATCAATTATGGTTCTCTTGAACTCCAAGGATTTATTGTATATGCAAAATGGAATATTGTGTTTTGCTATGATGAGTCAGCTTATCACTATGTTAATCTATCAGTATTAGCAATGGAAATGTCAAAAATGTTTCTGGTAGTGGTACTTCACTGTTGCATCCAAACAATTGTGATATCATACCCCTGAGATATATTCACATCTGGTTACATCATCATCACATTTCTAAAAGGGATACCATGTTGTAGAATGCTCCTGAGAATACAGAACATACAGAGAAACTGAGTGGACTCTGATAATTCATTGTTACACAATTCGCTGTTGACAAGGCCAAAGTGTGATGCAAGTCATTTACCCCTGTCAGTACATCATCAATTTATAACCGAGTAAGTTCACTTCAAACAATGTTCTACACTAAGCTCTTTTAAGAACATAAGAACATAAGAACTAGGAGCAGGAGTAGGCCAACCGGCCCCTCGAGCCTGCCCCGCTATTTAATAAGACCATGGCTGATCTTTTTGAGACTCAGCTCCACTTACCCGCCCACTCACCATAACCCTTAATTCCTTTACTGTTTTTTTGTTTGCTGCTCCCAGCATTAATCGTCCTAACTTCTGTCAACCTGTTCGCTCTCCAAACAGTTAAATAAAATCCAGGGATGGATGAATGTGTAAAACGGGACATTGTCCTTTCCCCCA